CAGGGCCAAAATTTTTTTATAGCTTTACAAAAGATTGTAACTACAAAGTGGATTACAAGAATGAATAATATATTAAAATGAGAATCCCTCACCCCCAAACTTAAAATGAAGCATTGTCTTCAATGCTTAATTAATGACTTTGGCATCCAATATTTTTTTGCTCTGATGCTTAGTTGCTCTCAATGCTTAGTTTCGAGATACACCTAATTATTTACTGAGGGCTTCTCATATATGCTGTACAGTGTAGTCATCAGCCCCATTGTAATAGTCTTCTTAGTTAAGCTGCTCTGCAAATATTTTGTTAATGTTAGCGAAATTGTACCCAACGCCTTCCTATCCAACTTTTCCCATTTGGCTTCTTTCATGTCAGCTGACTTCTTGTCTAATGGCAATTCCAAATCCTTGAAATGTAGATAATCTACTATCTGATCCTTCCAGTATGAAAAACCAGTTCCATAAAAATAACCAATTTATATTTTTCGATAATCGTTCTTCAATCTTGGCCTCTGATACCAATTGTTGTGAAAAATGCAACCAACTATTAATTATCTCAATCACAAATGTAGACAATATTTGTTAGTTAATCTTATATCAGGTTTTGCTTCCAATAAATACGGAATTCAAACTTCACATTGCAACTTACACATTAAAAGATTAGATAAAATAATCTAAAACTTCTAAATAACAAGAACGATAAATAAATATTAGGGAGAAGAAAATTAAACACCGGATTTATATTGGTTCGCCCAATGTGGGCTACATCCAGTTCTCTGCTACCGTTGCAAGTTCTACTAAAATATTATGAAGAATCTCCCAAGAGTTTACAAGCCCTTTAAAATTATTTCTCTCAGTTTTCCCTTACATAGAAAACGCTCACGAATCACTCTACGAGTCTTTCAAACTCTCGAATGGATACAGAAGTATTTAACTCTCAAAATCTCTCTTCTTGGAGAATTTCTCACGACTCTCTATTTGAGCACACAAATCAAATGACTGATCTATCTCTATGTATAATAGATAGTATGACAAAACTAAAAGGGAAATAGAAAATTAAAAAAAAAAAACTCAAAGTAAATAGGACAAGAAAAAAATTCAAAAAGACATGATTTATTGTTGGGTTTGTAAGGGAAATGCAAACAAAGTGTCACATTGGCTAGGGAAGAAGGTGATCGTAGGTATATAAGATAGGATAATTATCTCCATTGGGATGAGACCTTTTGGGTGAAACCAAAAGCAAAGTCATGAAGGCTATGCCCAAAGCGGACAATATCGTACCATTGTGGAGACACTTGGGGTACTTCGGGTACCGTTGTCGTTAACATTAACCTTGCTCCTTCTCAAGGATTGCAGGTCTTATTAGTTACATAATCAATTATGAATTGTTGCATTTAGTTATGAGTTGTTGTAATTATTAATTACATTGTAAGTTATGATTAGTTGTGAGTAGTTAGGCTATTTTTCGTTGTAAAGTTCCTTTAAATACTTGTAATGTTTCTGATATTGAATTAGAAGACAGTAGCAATTATCACCAATTTGTGCATGGTATCAGAGCCTTCTGACACACGTCAATGACTCCCTCTTCTATCAATACAATTTCTCCTGCAATTCTCATCTCCCATCAATAATTTTTCTTTTATCAAACATATGTAATCTAGTCTTCATTCGACTAAATCCTTCCAATTTTGTTCTTTGGAAATACTAGTCTCTTCAATACTAAAGACACAGTCCCACTTTGGTTACATCGATGTATCAATTCAGTGTCTAGAATGGTTCCTTCTCTCCACTACTAAATCTGAGTCAGTTGCTATTAACCCTAATCCAGCCTATACACAGTGGCTTGCATAAGATCAGGCAATCATAACATTGATTAATGCAACTCTATCACCCACCACCCTCTTGTACTTTGTTAGATCTGCAACCTCGAAAGAATTGTGGACTTTGATTAAAGTTCGCTACTCAGCTAGTACTCGCTCACATGTTCTTGATCTGAAATCAAAGCTTTACTCTATTAAGAAGAAGGGCACTGAATAGGATGGGTAGGTGCTAAGGAATGAATTTGGCTAGTAGGCTGTATGGGTTGATCAACTTCGATAATGGAGGATTTGAATATGTGGGCTGAGATTCTTCACTTTGAAGAGGAATTGGATGATATGAAGAATCTGTAGGATAATTGTTTGAACTAAGTGAATCCAAAATGGGTGGGGGAGGGTTCTCCAAGTTGTTAGTTATAGCAGCTGGACTTTGAGAATTATTAGACACCACCATATTTGACTGATCTAGGTGTAGAGGAGTGGTGACATTTGATGGATGAGTTTGGAGATTTTGCCAAGTAACTATAGTTTCATGTGAGGATTGGATTGGGAGGGACGTTGTGAGAAAGCCATGTTTGAATGGAAATTCCGTCTCATTGAAAATAACATTTCTAGATATGTACTCTCGACTACTTGAGCATAAGCATTTGTAACTTTTGTGTGACTCACTATAACCAAGGAACACACATTTAGTAGAATGATATTGAAATTTATGATTTTGGTAAGGTCGTAAGTATGGGAAGCAAGCACATTCTAACACTCTTAAGAGGTAAAATATGGAGTTTTTTTAAAGCTTTCTCCCACGGTGAGAGGTTGCCAGGGACTGGAATAGGTAACCGGTTCATGATATAGGTAGCGGAAACAACGGCATCCCACCAATAATGAAGAGGCATAGAGGCTTGAGCAAGTAGAGTTAGTCCCATTTCAACAATATGCCTATGTTTCCTTTCCATCAAACCATTTTCTTTTACTAGTATGTGGACAAGGATGGCGAAAATCAAATCCTTTTTGTTTGAGAAACGAGACAAAAACTCTAAACTCTCCCCCCAATCGGCTTGGACAATTTTTATTTTCTATTAGATTTAGATATTTGACAAAGGATGATAGTGTTCCAATTTTGTTTTAAGTGGAAATATGGATGTTAATCGAGTGAAATCATCAAAAAAACTTACATAGAACATATAACAAGAAGTTGAAGTCATTGATGATGGACCCAAAGATCATAATGTATGAGCTCAAGTGGTACGAGAGTGAAGGACTTTGAATTTTGAAAGGGTAAGGAGTGAGATTTTCCATATTGGCAAGCATCACAAAATTCTCTATCATTAGTAGCAAATTTTGTTTTACAAGACCGTGACACAATACTTAGGACTTTGCTAGATGCATGACCTGATCTCTGATGCCATAGCGTGCTCAGAGATTTACATTTTATTGCTGAATGAATAGAAAAATGAGGCACTTGACAGACTTTGGACTGAGATATCAAACTTTCGATTCTTGGATTGGTGGATGGTTTTGAACGTCTTGGCTTGGGAAGGTCCGTCTAGTATAACCCTTGATTAAACCTCTCTTCCATTAGGATTTTCCCTGACTCCTTGTCCTTAACTTCAACCACAACATGATTGTCAGCACTTAACTTCGATATACTAATCAAGTTTCTTTTAATTGCAGGTACACGCAAGATATTGTTCAGACAAATAGGATTTGTAGCACCACTATCCATGAGCCAACTTAGATATGTTATTATCTCGGGTGTTGCAAAGTAGGCTGTAGCAGTGTTGTTATTTCCTTCTTACGCTGGCGAGGAGTTTACAGTGTATGATTTATTAAAGTGATGGTAACAAATTGCAGCCGAGTGGCTAAATTTGCAACAAACTTGACAAGTAGGTCGATTGTTATTTCTCTGTCCATTTCCTCTTCCTCTGCCTCTGCCATATCCTTTTTGATATCGTGCATCACCTCTACCTTGGTTTGTGCTTTGTTCCTTTGAATTTTGATGAAAATTCCTATTGAAAGCATAGTTAGCTGATATATTGGATAGATCAGGACTAATACTTACCATATTGAGATGGAGGAGAGTATTCTCAAAAGTGACGAGGGTGGCATGAAATTCTTGCCACGTTATGTCCTTCTTCCCATTTATTTGAAATGAAACTGGAAGATATTATGCATCAAGATACTTGACATCAATGAAGTTTCGCTGATTGGTTCTCCTGCAAGGGCAAGTCCAACTATTTGTTTCATAGTGAATAAATAATCACTCATTTTGAGTTGATTTTTCCTTGTTGTCTGCAGGCTTCGCTTCAATTTGATTCACGCAAGCTTTGTTTGTAGCTCCATAAAGTTCTTCAAGTGCCTTCCATACGTCTCTTGAAGTTGGAAGATTCAAGATATCACACGCTATAGAGGGAGTCATTGAGCCAAACAACCAAGCGAGAAGTGATTGGTTTACTTTTACCCATGATTCATAGGTTGGATTGGATACTAGCACTCTAGTGCTTGTGCCTTTTGCTTGAATTGACTGGAAAAATGGTTAAGGTTGAACTATTGTGCCTAGAACATATCCCTCTAATTTTTTACCACGAAGTACAGCCAACACCATCGATTTCTATAATAGGTAATTTTTCTCCTCAAGTTTCACTATAAGAACAGTGCTGAGACGATTTCCAGATGGTGTGTTTGAGATCAGAGTTGGTACAACAATGGGTAATGTGGTTTGGGTTGTAGTGTTTGGTGTGGAAGATGAACTCTCGATAGCCATGATAAAAAAAAAAAATAAAAAATAAAAAAAATCAGACCCTTGTCTGGCTCAGATACCAATATAAAAATTGAGGAAAGAAGAAAAATAAAAATGAAGAAATATTGTGGCTCTCTCCGTAAATGCAAAGAGATTTTATTCCTAGTGAAACTTATAAAGGAATGTACAAGAATTTACACTCATAGAAAGTGTATAAAGGAAATTCTCAATTATGGTGGCGCATGAGCTCTGAAGGCCGGTATAAAGGGGAAGATTTGAATTCCCTACCTGTCATCCTACTGCACTTATTAGTGCACTGTCTTTACATCCCATGAAGACTCATTTTCGCTACGACTTCGGTGGGTTCTCTCCTCTCATTGTCAATTTGGTTTGAGTTGGAACCCCATGAATGGTATTATGGTTTCATAGCTCAACAAGTTCAAACGAACATCTGATCAAAAATTGGAATCCCTAATATTCGTGACCTCAAAAGGATAAGAGACATAACAAAGGTTTATCAGATACACGAGTTATATACTCTTATCATTACTAATTGATTTTGAGATAGAATTCCATGAATATTAAGAAAATAGCCAAATCGAAAAAGATTTCAAAGGAAGATATATAGTTTCGTAACTAAATTAATACGAGTAGATTTGTTTTCTAGATCCATAGGGTTGCAAAAATAAGGCTAAGTTTGAAGCTACTGATGAGAAATTTGACGAGCGAGTGCCTCACCATCAGGCAAGGGCGCTACATAGCAAATGTGGCCATCAGTGCTGTGGGGATAAGTGCCCCCAGAGCTAAAGATAATATCTATGAGCCAACCAACAAATTCTCCAATCACAAAGGCTCCCACAAAACTGGTTACAATTGCAGTCGCCATCACAAACAAGGAAGAAGCTTCTATGCCAAGCAAGGATGGCAAGGCGGCTTCCACGACTTCCCCGACCAATGCCCCACCGATCGATGCGACGTTCATCATCGCATCCCTCGTTGCCGTTTCTAGGGGGTGCGCCGATGTAAAGATGTCCCATATCATTACTCCCGCAGCAAGGATGAGCACAGCAACGCCTGCTGCAGTGGTGGCGATTTCTTTGATCTCTATCACCCGTCCCCGCCCGGAGGCTTCGATGATGTCATTGTATACCTAGAGGACAAGTTTGGGATCATAGTGGATTGGAAAATTGGGGGTTGGGTTGGTAACATTTTTGGGCCCTTTTTCGTATTTCTTGTTTTTGTTCAGAAATGATAAAACAATGTTTTTATTTATATTTTAGAATAAATTGGGAGCTGAAACAAGAAATAAAAAATTTTGTTTTTGATTGTTTCAAGGCTTCTATACAATTGTAAGAATTTTTCTTACAAAAATGAGAAAACGAGTAACATAAATAGTTGTGAAATGATTAAATTTTTTAATAAAATTTGAAACGAAAAATAAGAAACAAGAACATTATCAAAATGAATCATTTATTTCGTGTTTTAATTTGGAAAGGAAAAACAAAAGTGTTGTTTTCTATAATATATACTTTTTTTACTTGATGTAAGAAATAAATATGTTTTGATAACTTTTTTTTTTTGTCTCTTTTGCTATAAAAATTTAAACTAGAAAAATAAAGTTTATTTTGACAAATATATTTTGTTTTTTTTTTAAATGAAAGGTTTTGTCATTTGGTTTTTCTTCTATGACCGTGTATTTTGTTAATTTCTAAATAAAAAAATTATCTATTATTTTGAAACATGGAAAATAAGGAACAAAAAAGAAAGGTCTTGATCAGCGTAACGTTTCTATTTCTTGTTTCTGGTTTCCAATTTTGTCAAAAAATCTAAATATTTTACAACTAATTATGTTTTTTGTTTCTTGATCTTTTGAGGAAGATTATCAAAATTGTATAGAAATTTTAGAAACAGCTAAAACAAATTTCTTCTTTTCTGTTTCTATTTCCTATTTGTTCCAAAATATAAATAAAAAGATTGTTTGATCATACTTTTTGAAGCATTTCTTACGAATGAAAATCGGTAAAAACAAAAAATAATCATCAAATACACCGATTCAATGAATCAAGAAAAGAAAGAAAAAACCGATTTAAAGTTAATTAAAAACTGAAAATAAAGAAATTAAATACAAGAAACTAAAAGCAATAACCTATTAATAGCAACAGGTGAGTATTTACCGCCAACTTTTCTTCATCCTCCAAATCCTCGAACAGCCCAGGTAAACCACGCTTATTTTTGTACCTAATGAGTACACATCACAAATGTTAGTGGAGTTTCGTAATTTGATAATCATTCATTTCTTATCTTTTGTTGTTTGAAAATATATTTGTTTGGTCACAATTTTTTAATTGGTATGTTTTTACCGTTCTTAAAGACACATTTAATTAAACTCTTAGCTAAATTAAAAAATAAAAACAAATTTTCTAATTTTGAAACTTTGAATTAGATTTTAAAATGTAGCAACAAAAGAAGAAACTACTTGGGTGAAAGTAGTGTTTGTAAGTTTAATTTTTGAATGATTAAAATACTATATTTTGGTCGTTGTACTTTCAGTTTTTTGTATTTTGGTCCCTCCACGTTTCAAAATGTTCACTTTGATTTTGTTCTAATCCCCTTTAAAATGTGACAATTATAGTTCATATTTGCTAAGTTTTAACACAAATAATTATATATAAAACACAAATCCTTTAATATAATTAAAGTCATCTCTACTTTTCAAGAAATATATAGAGTATAGTACCATGTTGGAACTGTAATAGAGAAACTGATAACAATGAAAGGAACAAAACAATCACTCTTTGAAATTACCTGACCTGAATGAACAAAAGTTGTCCAAACACAAATACGACGAATATGAATATTCTGAAAGTAGAGGCACCAAAATGAACTAAAGCGGAAGGTTAAAAAACAAGAATCAAAATGGTCATCAAACGCTGCACATCCTTAAATTTACCTATTGACAAGCTCCTCAAAAGTGGTTCCCTCTTGCTTGAGCAATTGGGAGAAGTTGATGGAAGCTTTGCTCTGATGCTTGGCTAAGAACTCCTCCAAAGCCTTATTGTATTGGGCAGCCTCCTCCGCCAAACGGCCCACCTCAGGGATATCCGTTGGGTCAAGATTTGCCAGAGCTTCAAAAAGCTCCTTCGAGTGGTCACTGATCTTCTCCAAATAGCTCTTTCTCAGTGTGTAGTTCCTCACGGCCTGAAGAGAACTGTTCACGGCCTTTTGGACATAAGAATACACGTCGTGAGCGATCGAAGATCGAGTTTCGTCGTTTTGGAAATCCACCATCATGGCATCGGCATCGTCGAGAAGCTTTATCGCTTTATTGTAATTCTCGCTCACGTCCCTCTCATATTTCGCGAGGTCCTCTTCGGATTTGAACACGATGTTGTGTACTGACTCAATCTCTTGGTTGCGAACTAGTCTCGCAAGCTTTTGTAGTTTCTCTCCTTCGAGAACCAAAAGCGGAGCCATTAGACGAGATTTGAGATTTGAGATTTGAGAACAGAGGTGCTTGGAAAGGTTTATATATATATATACTTCATAACCCTAGTAAGTTGATATCTACTAAATACCGCGGTTAAAAAAAAAAAAAGCAGTTAAAGAGATATGGATGAATAAAGAGAGAAAATAAAAAAAATTTATTCTTTTAAAAAATAAATAAATAACTGTCAATCTTGTAACGGTGGCCAATAGAAATTATGGGTAAGCACCAAAATACTATTCTTTGAAAATACATTAGATAATATGACCTTTTTCTTATGTAATTATTAAGGTTTTTCGTAGTTTTAGTTTTACTTAATCACAAATCTACTATGAAGCACTTATTTATTTACTATAGATCATGAATTCATGAATTAAATATTATTTTTTAGTACATTAACAACGTATGAAGATGGATGTTCGAACTCACTATTAAATACTCAAATTAGACGTATGAAGATCGATTATATATCTTAACGAGTTGAGTTATATTCAAATTAGACATGTTAAAACATATTTGATTAAATATACACTAAATTAAAAATAAAAAGAAAAAAAAAAGAGCCAAAACATTACGGATTAATACATATATAGCCTATTCTTTATTATTATCTATGGTTTTAAAATCAAGCGATTAACTAACTCCCAGTATTTGTTTTTAACTAAAAGCCAAGAGTAACTTTACCCAAATGTTTATGTTTGGTAAATAATAGGTCTTTTTAACTTTAAATTTTATATTTAACAGAATTCTTAATATTCAATTTTTATGTCTGTGACATTCTCATGAATTTTTAAAATATCAAATACGTCAACAACTATTAGATACAAAATTAGAAATTAAAGGATCTATGAAAAAAAAAGAAAAATTTAAAGACCCATCGGACACTTTTTAAAATTTAAAAACATATTAGATACAAAATTAAAAATTAAAGTAACCATACATGAAAAGTTGAGAGTACTTAAAACTGTAATTTAAACCTGAACTAAAAAATTGTCAAGATTTATTAATAATCGTAGAAATGTGAGTAAAGAGACTTTGGAAACGAAATACCTTGAGGCCCTTTTTGTTTTTAATTTTATTTTCCTGTCCTCCTTAGTTTCGGTTTGAACTTTTATTTATTTATTTTTCTTGTCATCTTTAGTTCGATCGGTTTTACAGATTATTATAGAAAAATTTCAATTTGTCTTTAGAGATATACATGAAGAAAAAAGAGTAGGGAGTCCCGATAAATTCTTTAATAGAGAATTTGAGAGTTCAATACTCGTGTATTTGTTAGAGAGTTTGAAAGATTTGTAAAGTGATTTGTGAGCGTTTTTTGTGTGACAAAAAAATTGAGAGAAATCATTATAAAATGCTTGGAACTTGCAACAGTATCAAGGAACTGGACGTAGCCCATATTTTATGAACCAATATAAATCCGGTATTTAATTTTCTTCTTCACTAATATTTATTATATTGTTCTTGTTGTTTAGAAATTTTAGATTAGTTTATCTATTTCTTTTAGTTGTAAGTTCCAAGTTGAAATTTGAATTTCACTTTTAACCAGAACTATAACCTTATTTTAGATTAGCTATTTGTGATTGAGATTTTTCCTAGTCTTCCTTCAAACAAATGGAAAGTTGGAAGTTATAATAGACACAAAATTGTTAGTTTGGGAAATTCTATTTCAATTAGAACTAGAACCTTATTTTGGATTAGCTATTTGTGATTGAGATTTTTCCTAGATAGTGTTCCTACTAACCAATTTAAAGTTTAAGGTTCTAATAGACACAAAATTGAAAGTTAAGAAAAATTATTTCATACTTTTTGAAGTATAGAAATTTATTAGACACATTGTTGAAAGTACAGACACACATTGAGTGGAATTAATTATTTTATTTATTTTTGTTGAAGGGATAAGTAATCATTCAAACGGTGTAATATCATGTGTTATGCCGATTTATGGGCAAATGCCATGTAGGTGTCATAGGGTGACACGTATGTCTTCGTGTTCAAGTTCTAGGTTATTTGTATTATTTGTACACAGAAATCTAACATAAGTGTGATACTTCATCGAATACACTTGGATGCTTAAGTTAAAATTAAAGTTGGGAGCAAATGAGTATGAAGCAAGTAGAGTTGAAAGATAGTAACCTCACGAGTGAGAGTGTGCTTGAGAGTTTGTGTCGAATTCTCACAAGGAGTTGTGTAGGGGTTTCCCTTCTTTAGGGTTACTCTTTTCCTTATATATGGAGGGTGGGTGAGAGGGGTGGAGTATTGTGTAGCAGACACATGGCGCGCCCAAGGGTCGCGGCACCACCGACATGCTCCTTCCCCTAGTGTATTGTAGTGTTTTGGCAATTTTTTTTTGTCATATCGCGGTTTGGGTACAAGATATCAATACACTGTCCACTGGCTGTCTCTCGTACGGTTTTCCAGATGTGTTTGGCCCCTTTCATGAGCAATGCACTCGAAATTGGGCCGGTACGCTAGGCCTTTGCCCGTTCTTTGCTAACTTGGTCCACGTGACTGAACGTAGGCAAGATGCATGCCATTGAATTATTATAAACCAACGTAGGATTCATACAATAACTGTTCTAGCTCTACCATATCTTTTGTTTCATTTCTTCCGGAACAATCAGAAACACTTTTTTGATTATGGATCTACTTCCACAAACTCAATGCGCAATCTTAGCCTTCAATGTGTATTCCTGTTTTTCAATTTTTCAACCATTCATTTTACCAAGTCAATGTTAGAAGTTGGATCTACGGACCTTGATCATCTTTCGAAGAAAAAAAGAATCGACTGATCAAACGTCGAACATCTCGCTTGGATGAATCCCCTGCCAATATCTTGGTCATTTGGACAGCTTCCGACTACGCCTGCGAATCCTGAGGGCAGCCCACTTTGGGATAGGGAGGAGCTAGTTACCCAATAACATTATGTAAAAGACTCATCGATGCAATAGTAATAAATTTTATATGTTGATATATACATATATTTTTTTTAATAATATGGCCTACACAAATAATTATTTAATGTGCTTTTGCTATTTTAATTAAGTCAGAGGACGTGATCAAATTATTTGTAACTTTTGATATATGAAAGTAATTATAAATTGACCATAGAAAAAATGTATAGGTAACGTAAATTGATTTCTAATTTGATGAGAGGGTTAAATTAGAAACAAAAATAAGCTTGTAATTGACCAATTCCCGATATCGAATGAATTTCTTGTTCTTGTATGTACAAAACTTGAGGAAATTATCACAAGACAAACCATGATCTATTTAGACTTTGATGATCCAATGTCATCAATCAACTTTCACATGGGACTTTTGTTGAATAATAACCATGGTTCCTGCCTCCCAAGAATATTTTCTCCTTCCATAGTTATTCAGTCAAAACTAAATTAATCGCACAATAAGTGAAATATAGAGAAAAGCACAATAAATGACACGTGATTTATATTGATTCACCTCAACTATAGACTACATCTAATCTTTCGCAACAAAGGGTTTTACTATAATATTGGGATAATACAATGACAAATATAATACTTTCTCAAATCTAGAGAGCTCAACAAAAGCCAAGGAACTACAACAATAGAATCCTAAAAAAAAAAAGAATGAAAAACCTCACCAAATATTCACCAGGATAGGTTGTCGACGATGTTCTACTATGCCGACACTCTGCCTCAATACCCACTAAAATCTTTCACCTACACATTCTGGCCGCCACTCAACTGTGCAACAACACACTTGTTAACCAAAAAACACGAAACTGCGCATTTATATCATGATTGACACATGTCATGGCGCTATGGACGAAAGTTTCATCCGCGCGCCCAGATCAGGACAACATCGCGACGTTGTCCCTAGTGCGGCAGTGTTGCCTCCTCGACCCAATGGCCTGCAGCTCGCTTCTACACCTATTTTTCATTCCTTCTTCGTCCCGACGCGTCTCGGCTAGATCTCGACTCGTTGTGATGTTGATTTGGCTCCATAATCCCAACAGTTTCTAACATTGGATTTTGGATGATTCGTTAGGTACAAACTCTAGGGATGGCAAAAATACCCGCGGACCTGATCTCCGCGGGTACCCGACCCGATCGGGTCGGGGATTCCTCGGTTTGACCAGGGACGAGGTCAAACTGGGAATCGGTCCCCCTGCCCCGTCCCCGTTCCCAACCCCACCCCGTTTAACTTTTTATTGGTTTTTCTATTTTTTATATAATAATATTAATTTTATAAATACTTTTAAATTTTTCTTTTTTACAAAAACCTCAAGCTAATGCCCTATTTAACCATTTTTTATAATAATAATAACAAAAATTAATTAAAAAATTAAAAATTAAATTTAAAAATTTAAAAAAATATATATTTATAACGAGGAATCCGTCTCCGATCGGGGAATCCCCACCCTGTCCTCACCCCCAAAATTTAGGGGACGGGATGGAGATGGGGAAAAAATTCCCAATAGAACGGGAATGGGGATGGGGATGGGGATGCCCCGGCCTCATCGGTATTACTGTCACTGTTGAATGTAGAAACTTGCACTACTGATCAATATGCTTGGTCTGATTAAGGAGATTTTGAAACTTTTATTTTTTTTTCAGGAAGAAATAATTATAAGTCAAACATAATTATGATAAATGTTAAAAAAACTAATAACTAACAAATGTAATTTAAAATTTTAGTTGGTGGTCGGTGGATATGCCACATTAATTAAATGAAATAACACAACAGAAAAGACTAGTCCGTATCATCATTTTCTTTTTTTATTGTAAAGATATATATAGTTGTAAAGTTAGCATAATGGCGACAAAAGATTACAAAATATAATGATGAAAAAAAATAAAATGAGCTAAATACATGATCGGTAACTTATTAGGTAATTTTCAATTTCGTCATTAACTTTTTAAAATTCTCGAATCTATCCTTAATGTAGTAAAAAATTACTACTTAAATTAGTATTCTTAATGCAGTAAAAATCTACTACTAAATCATCAGTGTTAAGAAAAGTTG